CAACTGAAAGAATTCCGATTAAATCTCCGAAGGCTAAATCTGTCTCACATTTCGTGTTTTTTACGTAATCCCTTACCTTAAGCAAACGTAACAAATCATAAGATTCAATAAGAATACCAATCGCTATTTTGTTCCGGATGAGCGGCGGCCTACATATTTAAAAACCGACACAATGGACGGCAGATAATGTCTGTGTGACTAAAGAAAAAGGGGAAAAAAAGATTGAAAATAAGATGAAAAAAAAAATTCGTTGTGGTTCTCTCAGTGGTGTCAAGGGGCGAATGGCATGATAGGAGAGCGGTCACGAGGAAGGATGGTCAGTGGAATCCAAGCATTCTCTAGGAGGCATGTACGGTGGGAGAGACAAGGGACCAATACGTATTATAAATCAAGTAGAGACTCGTCCGCAAAGGAAATGTCGGTGGCAAAGAACGAGGGAAAAAGACGCTCGGCGGGGAGGAGAGGGGGGGGGAGGGGAGGGAAGAAAGAAGGATACGACTCGTGGCGGTGTGCGGACCGAGAGTGTGCGGTCACGATCGTACATCACCGCCGGTATTTACGAGGTACCACCGTAAATCAATGATCGCGCGATTCAACGAAATTCCTCTCTCCCCTTCCTGCTTGTATGCTCGGCTTCCTTCTCGTTTCCTGTACGCGAGAGAACCCGTCCGTTCCCTGCGTTTCACGATATACAGTATTCCTCGGGATCGATGATGCCGGAATCTCGCGAGGAACTTACCTTGCAACAAGAAAAGTCGGCGACTTCAGCTGAATCAATAGATACATACACGAGATGCTTCGCGATAGCGCTTAGCAAATCCTTTAATTGATCTGGAGCTAATGTTCTTTACAGTTTCATTCAATTAAGTTGTACATATACATTCTATTATCGACTTAGCTAAACATATATTTTATCTTAAGTTCTATACCTCTGACTATACATATGCGCAACCTATCTTTTTAAGTACGTACCTATGTCCGCCGATTCTCTGTGCACAACTTACTTTTCTTTCATTTTCTATGTTAACTCTATTACATTTTTCAGATTTAACCCTCAGACCCATTGTCTTAACTTGGTCAACTTGTGGTTTAGACTTAATCTCATTTAATTTGATGATAATATAAAAATTGTGTTTTTCTAGCTATGGTTAATCATTAAACTAATGAATTTGTAACGACAATTTTACAAATTATTCACTACAAAACTATCAATTTAGTGATATCAGAGATAGGAAAATACAATTTTTACATTATCAAGTTAAGCCTAACCGCAAAGTTAACCGCAAGTTAGTCACCGAATAAAAAATCGGGCCTTAAGAAAGCCGACTATATGTTCGAAAAATTGCCGGCTTCCTTTCCCAATGATTTACTATAACTTTTTTATTAATAAGGATACATACATTTACTTGGTACTGTTAAGTTCCTTAATGTATAGCGTTTCAATTAAAAAAAAAATTGTTTGAATATGTTCATTTTTATGAAAATTATGAGCAATCGAATTGGATTGTATGTTGTAGCCAATTGTATTCCCGTATGTGTGGCGTTTAAACGTTAATCGTATGGAACGGAAATAGCGAAAAAATTATGTGAAAGAAATCTATATAATATTTCGAGCAATACTAAAGAGAAGTGTGGTTCGCCGATTCAAGCCAAAGAGATAGAACTTTGGGACGGATGGACCGAAGAAGGTCGAGCCAGTCGGACCCGTTTAAGGCCGAGTATTGTTTGTTCGGGCCTTTTAAACGTCGTTTAAAGCGTGACTCCCGCCAGCCCGGAAAGGATCGTTTTAACGAGGAGGTTTTGGGACAGACACAGACCAGGTCAGATCTCCTACGCTTTACGGTTACGCCACGAGACGTTGCCCTTTTTGCGTTTCTCGCAGGACTCCCAAGAATCAGTCGCCGCCTTTCTCGCCGCACAAAGGAAAAGGTTGCCTCTTCGCGCAGCTGATCTCTTAAATCATATTACACGATCGTCGAGGATAAATCTCTCTACCAATCACGCCTCTTCCTTTCTCGCAAGGAAAATCGCTTATCCTAATCTTCGTAATGTGGGACGCGATGTCTTCCAGCGCAATTTCAAGCATCGAAGAGATTAATTTATATAAACGGATAAATATTTTTAAAAGTCGATAAATCTATCTCGGGTGTATGAAGTTAGCACCGAATGGTCCTCGAGAGTTCTGATTAGAATTCTAGCTTCCTTTTAAAGAATGTAGGAGTTTTATGTTTATAAAAAAAATTCCGACGATTAACACTATTAAAATAACATTTAAAAAATCCGCTAACTTCACACCTAAGATTATTTCATATCTTTCGACAAGAACTAGAGTTCCTGATAGAAAAAGAAATTTTTTTATTTTTTCAAAAACATAAAAAATAAGATTAATTGATATCAAGTCCAAATAGTTCTGACATTTAGTCTTTGTTATTTAACTTCGTTACATGCAATTTTATTTTATTCAAAATAGTTACAATATCACATTCCTATAATTATTTAAATTTATTTTCCCTTGTATTTCTACTAGAAGTAATATTTACTACGATATCATTTACACATCAATACCTTTTATCTACAAAGAGCATCAATGCCACGCATATCATGAGCGAACGTATCCCAGATTTTACAAAAAAATTATACGGAATACACAGGCATCATGATAAAGGAAAACAAGAATCAGAGTAGCGACGAAAGATGAAAGCAACCTCCAACCGATGTTTCAAAGGAACCATAAAAGTACAATAAGGACCGAGGAAAAAGGGCCACCTTCCATGCTTTCCACGCGACGGAAAGGCGGTCGGGGGAGACAGTGTAAAGTCGAAACCGCGGACTCCCAAAAGTCGTATTTTTTTTTTACACGATCGGATTACAAAGAATCAAAGGGCTTCAAACACCCTCATGATCCTTCTCGAGATCTGTCCGAACAGCTGACTGAATCTAAACTTAGATGATGGAGTGCGCGCCCTCGAAGAGCTGCGTGCTATTTTCGAGACGCCGCGTGCACAAGCGTGAAATGAAACAAATAATACGTCACTTCCGCTCGGAACGTTCCGCGTTTCGATTGCCTCCGAGAACTTTCAATGATTGAAAACATCGTAATTTTATCGTGCAGTTAACATATTACTCTTAAATTTATATATATATATATATATCTTTACAAGAATTCCCATTTTTAACGTAATTCATTCCGGAGAATTTTATTATTCTAATCCTTAAGTGTGTAAATCTAAATTTTTTGGAGTAAAATAATTTCGCTCGAAAAATGGAGTTATTACCGAATCGCTCAAGTTGGAGTGACTTTTCGTTCGTATGAGATAAATTCTTTCACTCTGTATCGTGAAGTGAATCTTTTCGTTTGTATAATTGAAGAACGAATTTGGAAACAATGCACATGCCAAGCAAGAATAGCGAATAACACTGTTCGTCGTCGTGTCGACGATGTGTTTTGTTGAGTCGATATTACACAAAAATATCTTCTTCTTCAAGAGATAAAACACAAACAAGACTTACCTTACGTAATTAAGTTTAAATATTTTTTTTTAATTAAGAATCCGTAATTAAGTTTAAATATTTTTTTTAATTAAGACTCCTAGTCTTATACTGAAGTCATTTTGACTAAAGTTTTACTCCAAAAGAATGAAACATTTATTATGGTTAAACATTTACCTTTACGAAAGTGAAATGTCATTCCATCCCGAATAGCAATATTTTCATTATCGACTAAAGTAATTTTCACATGTTTTGACTGAGATTTCATCCTAAAAAATTTATAGTATAGAATAGAGAAGAATCCGAAGACACACGGATTAGTTACTTTACGTTTTCGTTACAGAAAAATTGATCATAGCTTTTTTTCGATCAGAATATATATGAATTATATTTTTCGACAGAGAATTGTCAAAACGCTATTTAGAATTTTAAAGAAAAAAATATCGTATTTTAAAAAAAAATTTTTTAATTTTTTTTTAGAATTTAGAAAATTTTTATTGAATCCGAAAAATTGTCGTAAATTTCTTTCATTTATTTTTGAACAAATTAACTTTAAAGTGAAATATGTTTCATATTACTCCGTACGTACAATTCGCTGTTTAAATTTCTATAAATCAATTTTCGAGAAACACCAATTACACTCGATGCTCGCGTTTCGTACACCGTACCTGATAGTACGTTTAAACTGGACGTAGTTTAATTCCATTAGCAAAACGAAGGCTACGTGCGTTTTAATTTCGATTTGATGCCTCGAGCTGTCGGCCAGCTCCATTTAAGCCGACGAATTAAAAGCGTTCGCTAATGCGACTCGCTTGAGAATTAACTTTGTACGTTCAAGTCAAATCAATTTTCGTGAGACAAAAGAAATAGGGTCGTGGCACGGGCATCACGAGAGCATCATGGAATTTTTTGTTTCCAAGAAATCGACGCCACGTTTCGGGCACATGTGTTACGCAAACATTAAACCAATGATTATCGACCTGCGTCGTCATCGCCAGAGTCATAACGTTAAAAAATAATCAAGAGAATTTCAGAAAATTTTAAACAAAATTTTTTTTTATTTTAAAAATTATAAATTATAAAATAATTACTTTATTTGAAAGATAAATTAATTTCATATAAATGTGAATAAACATATATATATATATAGTAAATAAATATATAAAATACACATATATATACATATATGTAGAATCTTGCGCAATGAGACTTATCAATCATATCATCTTAATCACTGCTTCCTCAGTTACTTTTTCCTCTTTGCTCGTTTTTATGAGCGAACATTGAAAATATTGAAATATCGAAACTCTCGATCGAGGTAAATCGAGAACCACTGATGACTGATAACAGACAACATGAAGAACTCACCTGATGTAAATGATGACTCCGTTGGTGCATATCCTTTTCCATCCACGTGGCACGGTGATCGCTGAGGGTTGTTGTTGCTGTTGTTGTTGTTGTTGTTGTTGTTGCTGTTGCTGCTGCTGCTGCTGCTGCTGCTGCTGCGTAACCACTGCACTGCCGTTCATTGTCAACACCACTGCATTATGCTGCACACCATTGTTACTACCGTTGACACGCGACGGCGGCTGCTGCCGCGCAGCCTGCTGCGCACACGCACTACCACCGCCAGGATGATTATTACTCGCCGGCATACCACCGTCGTGCTGTCCCGGCTGATGACTCTGACTCTCGTCAGGACTACTGAGGCTGCTGTAGGTCGTCGTCGATGACTCGTCGGACCTGACCGAGTCGCAGCCGGCGGTCGCGACACCAGCACCATTACCGACACCAACACTACCGTCACCAGCACTGACCACCGTCGACGCCGAAGAGGCGGTCTGCTGCTGATTATCGAAACCGTCTTGATGCCGGCTCTTGTCATCCACGCTCGTCGCAGCCTGTTGCTCAGCGGCGTTTTGAAGCGCGATCCCGTTACTATCACCGGCGGACGTCGATGTACCGTACGCGACACAGTCGTCCTCACCACCGAGAAGACCAACGTCGCTCGGATTCGATCGCACGACGATACTGTTACTATTCGTCGCAGAGTTGTACTCGCCGCTCATCCTCGCGGAGTACGCGTCACCACCGTGCTGGAGCCGTGCGGTCTGATAAGTCTTCGAGCCGGACACCATCGGATCGTTATTCCCAAGACCGTTCGCCGTCGAGCGTTCTCCGTTCTCCGACGGTCGTTTGTTATCGCGCGACGTCCCGACGCGCGTCATCATTCCCGTCGTCGTCGTCGCCGTGGCGCACACTGTCGTCGAATGCCCCAGGTTTGCCTGTCGATACAGCATCGCGTAATCCTCTTCATCCTCATTGTTCGCGAGAGAAGGAGCATGCCTGGACTCGCTTCCATCCGTCCCGGGATTCACCACCG